AGTAAGTGAGGCTATCACTGCTCATTATCCATCCTAATAAGCATTAAGAAAGTGCACTTGAGTTCCTATACCACAAGCACATTTAAAGTATATTTCAGGGCTGTGCTATAGCTGAGTGGTAGAGGATTTGTCTAAAACAAATGGGATGCTGAGTTCAGTCTACCATGTAGATTAAACTCTATATATAGTATAGCAAGAAGTATGTCTATAGCTGTATTTATATCCTCTGTATCTCTATACATATATTTTAAATGATTTAGCGACATGTAAAGATTAAAATTGTAATAATATTTTAAATATAAGAAGCTAATTATGCTTTCTCATAATGTATAAAAACATTTGTAGGCAAGATAAGATATGCACAATTTATAAAAGGAAAAAGAACAACTCTAACAGTTGCTACAGAACCACATTATATCATGTGCAAGATCAAAGACAAGATACAGTGGGAGGAAACATTTGTAACTTATTGGACAAAGAAATTGCTCCTAATACCTTTTTTAAAGAGACAACACAGTATAAAAATGAGCAAATAATATTAATGAGAAATTTGTAGAAGAGGAAATGAATATAGGCAATGCATATAAGAGTAGTTGGAGTTACGTCTGAACTAGGTATTACATTGTAAAAGCAGAAGTGGACATACTAATGTAGTTAAATTATCTTTCAAAATTCCTTAACCTGCACATAAAGTATAACATACATTTTAGAATAATAAACCAAGTACTACATAAGTTGTGTATGCTAAAGTATAAGCACTGGGTAGGGTGAGAAAGAGTACAAAAGATGTTTGAGCACTGAAGTTCTTTTGTCTTTAACTTGCCATCATAGCCCTAGAGGAGGAAGCAGAGTAGTAGAGGACTCTTTTTCTGCAGCTTGCATTCCATTATGTAGAAAGTAATAAGCCTATCACTTTCACAGAGAGCAAATTGGCCAAGAATGGCCATGACTCATCCACATGGCTGACACTGACAAAGGATCTACAATCTGAGGTACAGGGTGTCAGGATAAATCCTGAGGGGATTTGACTGACCTTATCAGATCTAAAAGCTACAACTCTTGTTACATAGGTCTTGCTTTATCTTGGTCTTAACCATCCAGCAGAAAAGTATAAAAACAAAGTATAAGAAGTAAAGCCATGTTGTTATGTTGAGCTGTGGGGGACTCAGGTCAACAACTTCTGACATTGTCAGTCAAGCGGAAGACCCAATGATATTATGGACTCTGGACTCTTTTGGAATATTTTGCTGAGTTCACACACCTATAATATTTAAATGACAGATCTAAACAAAAGAAGGGATACAAATGAATGTCCATTTTGTATTTGTGTATTCAAAATGGTTAGGATAGATATATAGCTACATTCTCTTAAATCAATGAATAGGGGTATTTGTTCTAATAGTGTTTGTAAATAGGATATCATGTCTACATCATGTACAACAAACAACCACTAGGAAGACTATGCAATGTGTTAATTATTGGAACTGTATTACCAATTTAATTTGAAACTGTCTCATTGCTTTTTATTTCTCAATAGAATTATGGGAAAAAAATTTTTAAAAATAAGCCTATCAAAGCTTAATATATATTAAGATCTTTTTATTTGGAAACTGATGAAAGCTTTAGAACACAGTTGCAAGCCAACACTAGTTTATTGAATCTGATTTTATTTTATTTTATTTTATTTTATAGAGTAAAAACAAAAAGAAAAGCAAAAACAAAAACAGAAACAGAGAAACAGAACAAAACATATGATACAGGTTTTGAAAACAAGAACAGTAAATTACCAGTGGTTGTTATATTACATATTTTTATCATCAAATTTGTTGCTCAAATTACATCCAGAGGTATGCAAGATTGGCCAAATAACTGAACATTAATGCTTGCTTTCAATACTAAATGTGAATTTAAACCTTGCTTATTCATTAGACCCACAACCGTTTCCTGAAAAGTTGTTCAGGCCATGGTTGGCTTCCTCTGTCTCCACGTTGATGTTGCTGTGTGACCCTGTAAACAGACATGATTCTCTTGTCCACTTTACTGCTCTGAAGACACCTCACCATAATTCTAAAGATAGACATGAAAAGATGATGATAGTTTTTGCCCACAAATATTTTTAAAAATGGAAAAATTAGTACTAAAAATTACAAAGCGCCAGCCAAATAGTTCACTGGATTAAGGCTCCTGCAAGCGGGTGCAGGAGCCAAGGTTTCGATCCCCAGGCCTGCCGTGCTGGCCTGGCCCCTGGGGGCGCTGATATGGCAATTGAGACTGGGCATGGTGGCCCGTGCCTGTAGCTCTTGGAGGCTATAAACAGGCATATCACTACAAATCCAATCTAGCAGTGAGACCCTGAACACCCTGTAGACCCTTCCTTAAAATACAAAAAAAAAAAAAAAAAAAAAAAAAAAAAAAAAAAAAAAAAAAAAACTTATGCTGACTGAGATGGGAGAAAGAACTCTTGTGCAATTTGATAGGAGTGCCAACCAAGGTTTTTATTCCATGAGAAAAATAAAATCCCCAGTCTGTTTGGCAGCAAACACTGAAATTAGGCAAATATTCATCAATAAGAAAGTAATCAAGGGGCCTGCGAGATAACTCAGCAATCTAAAGTGCCTGCTGAGGCAAGCTTAGGCTGGTGCAGGGGACTGTCCTGTGGTTTGGCCCGCCCTCAGGGCAGGCTGAGCTGGCCAAAAAAAGGAAGCAATTAAGGACCTGAAGATATCACCATTCCAGGGAAGACAATATGCCTTAAACAAAAAGTAATTACAGGGAGAGGTAAGGGAAAGATGGGCATGTTAGTTTAATGCTGCACACTTTCAGTTATAAATTCAAGGAGCCCAATGTATAACATAGTACATAGATAGCAGATACTAGTGCCAAACTGTATATTTGCAAGTTGCCTAAGTGTTCTTGCCGCAAAGCAAAAAACAAACAGAAAATGTATATGCTTGAGGTAAAAGATGTGTTAATTTAATTGTAGTAATTATTTTACAAAATTTATGTGTATCAAATCACTACTTTTTTCCCCCCCCCGGCGGAATCAGAGATTGAACTCAGGCCCTTGCACTTGCCAGGGCAAATCACTACTTTTGTATACCATAATATCACAGTCTTGTCAATTATATCTCAGTAAAGCTGAAAATTTTTAGAGAGGCATAGCTATATGGATTAGAAAAACAGACATAGTTTTCCTAGATTAAATAAATTAATAACAGACAAAATTGATACTGGCTTTCTTCAAGGCAAATGCTAACCCAACCCCAGGAAGTATGTGCAAATACACACACATATAGGTTTGTATCAGACTTTCTAAAGTGAGCAAGGGAGTAACTCAGTTGTTCCCCAAATTACATATGAAGAATAATTAAGTAATTAAGGTTAACAGGAATGAAAAGTAAAACAAAAAATCAGGAGAGACTATCACAGAAATGAATGGGATCTGACACCTAGTGGGAGGTGTGGGGGAGGCAAACGGAGAATTCTGAGGAGGCTCCCTGGCATCTAGCCTGAGAGCCTGGGAAAGGCGCTACCGCTGATGCGAGCAAGGACTCCACAAGGGGAAATGAACCGCACTGCTCCCCGGGGAGAGGCCGTGAGTTCAGGCTGCCAACCCGAGTTGCGCTGCTGCTTGTTCGAAAGGATAATGTCTCAAAAAATGAAGCTGCTCATCTTGGTCTTAAAACTTCAAGTACTATACCGCCCCAACTGAAGTGAGAATTTACAGAGATTGTATCTCAAGAAAGATTTTTTAAAAGAAATATTACTTTATAAATGCATTCCTTGTGCATTTTGGAATGGAAACAGCCATACTGTTGTCTATTATTTCATGCATGTGTACTTGCACATACGTCCTGGGGTTGGGTTAGCATTTGCCTTGAAGAAAGCCAGTATCAATTTTGTCTGTTATTAATTTATTTAATCTAGGAAAACTATGTCTGTTTTTCTAATCTATATAGCTTTTTCTCTCTTTCTAAAAATTTCCAGCTTTACTGTGGCATAATCGACAAGACTGATTTTATGGTATATTATCTCTGTGTATTTTAAAACAAGAAAACACTTCTTTGTGGATCATGAAATATTACTGTGAGATTTCAAATACCTAAAGGAAGAAACTGCATACAAAGTGGCAGAGACTGTCCAACAGGACATATACTGTTTTGCCAAATGTTTCTTCTATGTTGTTTTCATATAATTATTGCATTTGCAATAACCTTTGTAATTCATATACAATAACTATTAGCTTATTAAAAACATGTTGTTAAAAATATTCTATACCGGCAACTTTGCAAAAGTTTTTGAACTAGAAATAGCTTGTGCACTTCTATAGCATAGAAATCAGCATTATATATTTATACCCAATGAGAATTTATTCCATGCAAATACTGTTGCAATGCCAGAAGAATTTATTTCTGTACAATCATATGATATTTTATATTGGAGGTAAACTGAAAGTGTGTGACATATCAGAATGAGATCTTTGCGTAGATAAATGAACCAGAAAGTCATCTGAATAAGTCATTTCAATTTTTAGTTTTGTAGAAGTCAACTTCTTTTGCATATCTTTATTCTGCATTCATCATTGATTGTATTTTTTTAGACATTATTCCTTTATTAATTCCATAGGAAATGTTTTTATGTTACATTTGTTATTTCTAACCTGAGTTGAAGTAGCCAGGTCTGGGCTGGGGAGATGGCTCAGTAGAATAAGCACTTCCCTGCCAAGTGCAAGGGTCTGAGTTCAATCTCTGGTTCCACAAAAAAAAAAAAAGAAAAAAAGAAATAGCCACTTCTATAACTGCCTTGTTTTTGTTTCTTTGAAGTCTGAAGAATTTCATGAACTCCAAAATCATCAGAGAACTGTGTATTTATGATACTATGTAAAAATCACAAGACAACTTGTTTCTCTGAGTAATCCTTGTAAACTACCTAAAGTCCCCACTGGAGACAATGGAACAGGAATAATAAATTAAATATTTTGTAAATTTCTTGTTTTCCAGAAAATACACACCATTGGAACCAGTAATGCAGATGTCCCTTTGGCTGATCCCGGAATGTACCAGCTGGACATTACATTAAAAAGGGGTCAAAGTTTAGCTGCCCGAGATCGAGGAGGTAACAACATAAGAACAATATTATTTAGAAGCTTTTTCTATGCATTTGTGGTGAACTTTGCCTTATGATTGTTTGAGTTTGAAAAGTTAACTATAAAATTGATTTATAGAAATTTCAATGTGAAGATGCAATTTGATATATTTCTTGACCTCTCTGACTATGCAAGTTTCAGCACTCTGGCCCTCCAGACTCGGATGGCAAGGCTCCTACCAAAGTGTTGATACAAATTATTCTTCATATGTCATTTGGGGAACAACCGGGTACATAGGCAAGCCGTATGTTAGAAGCCGTATGTTAGAAGCTGTATCAGAAGTTACTTCCAGGAGACCAACATTCTTTGTGCTGCACAGATTTGCTAAGCACCTGGCAAGAGTCTCATGGTGGACGAGAAAGTTTCTAACAGTGAGAAGAAATAAGATAAAACAAGCACTCTTTAGATTTCAGGTGCCAAGTCCTAGCGCAGTCTCCCAGTGAGCTGGGCACACAAGGCACCCCTTAAACCAGGGACAAGCTGAGATGACTGCCTGCGAAATATCGTTGGCAAGTTTGAAATGCCAGCTGTGCAAGTGGTGCTGTCCTGCAGGGCCCCAGAGCTCCCCGTTCCACAGGAAGCCAAGTTGCGGGTGCGGTCTTCTCTCCAACAGGAAGGAAACTCCCTGTACTAGTTCTAGTTCATTGTCGGACCTCCTGGAGAGGGGCCCGGCAGCCTTCGAGCCTGCTTTTCTCCTCGTCCCGTTTGGTGACCGTTCGTTCAGAGTAGAAGGAGCCGGATCAGTACTGCTGCCTGTAATTTCCACACCTTAACTCTAAAGGAATGAAATATTAAGTAATAAACTAATTTCATGTGATAGTGAATTTTATGACTAGAACTTACAAATAATATGTTTATTTTTGTTTATTTATTTACTTACTTATTTTGCGGAACCAGAGATTGAACTCAGTCCCTTGTGCTTGCCAGGGAAGCACTTATTCTACTGAGCTATCTCCCCGGCCCTGATGTGTTTATTTTTAAATAAAATATCAAGAACACTCTTTCTGAATGAAGATGCAACTAAAAATGTTCAAATTTAAACAGATAAAGATTTTAAAGGTGAACACTTGGTCTAGGAGCTAGGGAAAAACATTTATTGAATTAGGCTGTCTCAAAGGAGGGTAGAAATAGATGAGCCAAAAGTAATGCTAAAGAAATAATATTAGCAGTATTTAATATAAATTGTTTTAGTTTTTAAAGTACTCCATTTTATCATTTGATTGAAGATAGGATTAGACCACAACTATATTCTCTCTATGTATGCATACATATGTATATTAGTGTAGCATTATAAAATATTAGAAACAGCCTAAAATACCCTCAATAGAGAAGTAGCTAAATAAACTGTGATTCATTTACATAAGGTAGTACTATACAGCTGTGAAAAAGAATAAAGAACATCTTTAGGAACTGATATAGAACAAGTTGTGAGATTGAGTTAAGTTCACTTAAGCAAAGTTAAAAAGGAACACTGTTATCTACTCATTCCTCCAAAAAGACATACAGGCAGCAAGGATCAAAAGCAGGGAGTAGCACACAGTATGCCATTAGGCGGGTGAGAACAAGTGACACCCAGTAGCACGATGCAGGAGGAGGACAGGCTGAAAGGTAGTGAGGGAGTAACATTTCTCCCCATCAGCATTCCTGTCCATGCAGAACTCTATAGCGCTATTTCAGAATTCCAAACTACCTGGTCCACGGAAATTGATCAGGAGGTGGGAGGAACTCAGAATGGATTGTGACAGTAGCCGCACCTCCAGGAGATGGAAAATAGAAGTCATCTAGGTAACCATAAAACAGTGTCGGATTGTCTGATATAAAACTCCAGACAAATGCAACACTGTACACACATATATAGCACACTAAAGCACGATTATCCATTCAGAAGCTAATGTGCACTCTAGGAACCAGCAAATATGTAAAGATATTATAGATAAAAAGAGCTGGGTTTCTTACTGACGGAGGGAGAAATTACAAATACATAAAAGGGGAAGGCTAGAGCAAGCCCTATGGTATCCAACAGGTACCAACATGAAGTAATGCTTTTTCATATGTATTCAGATAGAAATGCAGACAGTCCTCTCTCTCTCTCTCTCTCTCTCTCTCTCTCTCTCTCTCTCTCTCTCTTCCTCCCTCCCTCCCCCTCCTTCTCTTTCTGTCTCCCCTCCTTCCCTCTGTATGTCTGTTTCTTACCTCTATCTGTTGATCTGTCAAGAAAGCCTAGAAACAGTGACAAACATTTAAAAAATAAGCTAATAAGCAACATGCCTAAAGGCCAGACATTTATTTCTAAATACAATTTCCTAATATAAATGATCAGGGCTCTCAGAGGAATGCTTAATTTCAGACCTGGGGCAAGGGAAGTACAAGATGAGGCTGGAACATTTTGCATTGCCAAAAAGTAAAGAAATGCTCAGAAGTTGGTAGCAAGATGTCAGAACAGTGTAGAATCCAACCCAAAGAAATTCTAATGACCAAAGCTGGCACAAGTTCCATAATAAAATGAGTAATGGCAATGAAATACTATAAGAAATAAAATAATTCTGATTGCATGCTGATAAGTAATTGAATAAATTAATAGGAGGGAGAGAAAGTGCAGTTTTTCCTGACGATATCATTCCAAAACAAAACTGTGGAAAAGAAGATGCAAATAAAAACTCATCTTTTAACGCACACCATTGTGATAAGTATTATAAGCAGAAATAATCAGTAGATGCTAAAATTATATGTGAAAAATTATAATGTGAGACAGAGTACCTGTTGCAAGTACCTGTAACAAATGCTTAGCTTTCAAAGGGCAAAACAGTGAGTGCAGCTTGGAGAAGCGTGGAGGACACCGCCTGATCAACCTGTCAGCGACAGCATGCTAAGGACTGAGCTGTCCCACAGCTAGAGCAAAATAAGGGACTCCTGTGACTGGAAGGATAAGAAGTCTCTTTTGGTTAGCACTTTCCATTGTGCAGTAGATCAGCTGCCCCCACGGTGGAGGAAAGTGCTCACATCGTGGTGGCGAAAGGCCGAGAAAGCGGGGGCCAAGTTTGAGAGTATGCACTTCCTGGTCTTGCTCAGTGACCTTCTTGTCCTGGTCAGGCCCATCTCCAAAGAGCACAGTAGGCGATGAACTGCTCCTTGAACTCATTCAAGGCTTTACATGGTGCCCCATGATCCAATCACCCTTCTCATGTTCCACCCTGAAAACCAGAGTTGGGGGGCATCTTAGGGCCAGACCGTAGCACACACAGACATCAGATACCTCCTCATAAGCTGCACCCAGAGCTGCATATCATTTCTCTAAGAGTTTTGTAACGTGCCTATGAAACTTAATCATAGGAAGACATCAAGCAAAATCCGTCATCAGATGACAGCTTTCACCACAGCAGAGTAACTCTTCTCTTGCGTACACTGTATGCATGGTTCTTTTCCTCTATTACCTGGTCCCATTCCCATTTTACAATACTGAGTTTGGGTCTCATTTGGTGTATACCACTGTCTTCCTTGTAGTAGCAAATTATTTTCTACAGACAGCTCTGCCAAAAGTGTGAAACAAGTGTCAATACCGTAAGAGGGATATATACATAAGGAACAGGGAGAGAAAATATTTCATTTTGTGGAAATGGAGATTGTGCTAAAGTGTTTAAAATGCTAACGCCAATCAAACCTTACCTGCTTGCTTAACTTTCATATTTGTGGAAATTTTATTGCATAAAACAAGAAGTATTTAAATAAGGAAGCAACTTGAGTTAAACTTGGGGTTGATTCAATATTTAAAAACAGATGTGTTAAGCACCTGATTATACAGATATTATTGGGCAATTTAGATGTGTGAATTTATATACACATAATTAGTAGGGTAATTAGATGCAGGTGGAGAGCTTAGGAAACACAGAAGTTACATGGGAATATAATTTCAAGGGCTTGGACTTGGATTATGTGGCAATGAATAACGATATGGGTGTATGAGAGAAGGTCTAGAGGGAAATCAAGTAGGGCTCGGGATCATTTGAAAGAGAAGGCTCACAGACAGCTGATGGTACTGGGAGCCACGTGGAGCCTAGAGAGTGGTAATGTGTGTGTGTATGCCCCTGTGTAATTATTACAGTCAGTGGAACTGCAGTCCTTATTTTTTATATCACCTTCCTTATGTACTACCCAACCAGGCTGAGGAGTCCGAGTCAGCTGTTTCCTGTCATATGTTCATAGAATGAAGGACAGGAACATTTTTCTGCCACCAGCACTGGAATGTTTAAGCTTCGTTTCCCTGTAGTTCTTTGTATGTAATGGGCACTGAGACAGCTTAGCAGTCACAGCTGGACACCACGCTTGCAACTGTAGGATCTGTGTTCCTGAACTCATGGTTTCTTGAGATGTCACTACCATTTCCTGAGTTTTGTTGCCTCCTTTTGACATTGCCTAATGAGCCGTAAAGTACATAATCTTAGGAGGCTGATTCATAAATTCAAACCAAGTTCCATGTCTTATCAGCTGTCTGACTTTGAGAGAGATTGTGATATCTCTGCTCTAATGGTAGGATCCAGATTTAGAAGATGAAGTAGGATGCTAGTTAAATTTGGATTTCAGAAAAATAATTCACTATCTTTATTTATGTATGAGTGTTGCTCAGATAATTTCTTGGGAACACTTCTAATAAAAATTATTAATACTTATCTAAAATTTGATAGACTGACATTTTATCCAGCAATGCTATGTAATTTTCATGTTTGGTCAGTATTAGAAAAGTAACCTTTACATTCTAATTAAGTTGGATTTTTCAGGTTTTTATCTCTTTTGGCAGAGACGCTTATGCGTTTGAATGTAATGATTTAACATGGTAATTTGTACTGTTAGAAAAAATAAGAGAATTCTGATATATCTGATAATAACAATTCCTTACCATTAGATTCTTAAAACTTTGGGCTATGGAAGACTTCAAGCCTCTTTAGCAAATTATTCCAAATGCAGGAATCTAAAA